TTTCTCACTCCCACTCCAGAGCCTTTATTCACAGAGCCATCTTTCTTCCCTGTAGGGCAGGGGTGGGGAACCGTAGGCCTGTGGGGAGAGGGGGGCTGGATGGGACCCCTGGCTTACCTGGATCCGGCCCTGGAGGCTCAGGGCATCCCCTGCAGCATGGGGAGAACCCGTGCTGACACTCCAGTGCCCCTGCTGCCCCACTGCAGGGCTGGAGTACACGGTCCCCCTTAGGCTCTGATGTGGGAGGAGAATGTGGTGTCTTCCTTTTCCTCAGTCAGGGACCACGTCAGTGAGGGTGGTTTTTGTTTTTGTTTTTCTTCTCTCTTGTGTATGGACCCCAACAGATTTTTCTGAGAATTAGTAGCCACAATCCAAAAAGTTTTCCCACTCTTGCTGTAAGATTACACAGGAAGCAGAGCTGGAGACAGCTTTCTGGATGGTAGGCCTGTAGATTACTAAAATCTGTTGTCTCTCTGATATCCATTTAAAAATAAGGAAGAAAAGTCAAGCAAAAAAAGTTGTGTGTCTGTCAGATTCTAGCATCGGCTTTGCTAGCAAATGTATCTTGACTGTAATGCTTATTTATCCAGCCTACAGTTCCTTCTCCAATTAAAAGGGGCTCATGTTATTCCACTGCTATACTCATCAAAGAGGAGTCTTGTTTTGAATCTTGAAAGTTGATTTGTCCCTGTCTTTCCCACTTTCTCTCCCTTTCTCCTCTGAAGGTCTGACCAGAGTCAATGGATGTGATTGCACTGAGTTTGGGAAAGAACACGTGATCATTGACCTTGTCTACAACAAAAAACTTGAAAAGTTAATACTGTACTCAGTAATAACACAGCCTTTATTTTACACCTTAGATCTTGTTGCTATCCCTGATTTCCAATCAGGAGCTATGGAAAATTGGGGTCTCATCACATATAGAGAAACTTCACTGCTCACGTGATAGGCCATGAGTTAGCACATCAGGTAACTTTTTTCTGAATTTAACTTAGATTGCTTTTTTGTAACCCTGAAAAACAAGCCACTCATATAGAGATGGTAGTTAAAAGCTAAGGCTGAAGTACAGACAATCTAAAGAGCTTTAACAGTGTTAATGTTATGCATGTAGCCAAGAGAACAAATGACTTAGAAGGGAGAAGGATTGTGAATAATAATAATAATAATAATAGTAATCAACATTATTTATTAAGGTACCTTTCTGTAGTAGAATTTAGAGTGCTAAGTGAAAGCATTTAGGACAAATTTTAGCTCTCCATTATGCCAGTGGCAAGCTGGAGTAACTCCATTGATTTCAGAGGAGTTATTCCAGACTGACATTTGTAAATGCAAGCAGAATTTAGTCCCTTAACTTAAAAAAAAAAAAATCCTGTCAATTCTTGCTTCCTTGTCAACTTACAAATATTTAAATCCAAAAACACTCTCAGGTTTCTTTTTATTATGGTGGCTGCGTGTATTAGTAAATGTTGACTTTTCTTATTTTCAAAGCTTAAAAAATAGTAAAAAGGGGGAATAACTATGAATGTGTTTGTGAGCCAAATAGCATTGAAAATGAAGCATTCAATTAATTCACAGAACAGATGTAGTAAGCAAGTAATAGGAGTGTAAGCTTCTCCCACGCTCTCTAACAAGATGTTGCAATGCTCATTAGAGGGTCTACTCTCAGAAGTAATAAGCTATTTCATCCTCCATGTCAATTCAAACTTTTGCTTCCTTTGATTTATAGTGTGACAGAATATAGAATAGCTTTTTTTTAAAAATGCACATAGATTCAGAAACAAAAATCTAACATTTCTTATCACATTTCATTAAATTCTGGTTTTGTCCTTTTTTTGTTTTGTTCAAGTTTTCTTTGTGTAAATCAAATTTGATCTTAATAAAGCACACTAATGTGCCTGAACTTAAGGAAAAGCTCCCTTGTTAAAAATAGCAATTGCCAAGTTTCATTTTACCTTTTGTTTACTTTAGAATTTTTCTTTTAGTGGTTTGGTAATCTGGTTACTATGGAATGGTGGAACGACATTTGGCTAAATGAAGGTTTTGCCAGATTCATGGAGTTGGTATCTATTAATGCTACATACTCAGAGCTGCAGATTGTAAGTAATATTGCTATCTTGCTAATCCTTTTTCTCTGTTGGGTTCTGTTGAAAAATAGGTCACTATCAGAAAAATACAATAAAATGTATTGTCTACAAAAGTGTTAGCAAAGAGAGCATCTGAAGTTTAGAATAGCAATATATCTTTAGAATTAATGCCTGGTCTGTTTGCACATTTTTGTAGTAAAATTTATTCTCATTTTTCTTTGTAACCCCTATTATATCTCTCTTTCCTAAATCTAAGCAATGTTCTTCTTTTAAAAAGGATTCCACTAAAAGCTAAGAATCTATGTGGTATGTTGCATTATAGCATTTACACAATATAGTTATGGTTGAGAAGGCATTTTTTTCTGGAGACAAACATTCTTTTGAAAAAAAATATACTTGAGGCAAAAGCTTCTCATATTTGTTCACAACTCACAATTGAATTTATCTCGAAACTCAAACCTTGAATTTGCCTATTTTTTAATTCTTTCTACATAATTTCCAGACACCTGCTTTTATTCAATCATGGATTATGCTGGCACACGATATGCATAAAATTATTTAGCATATAACAACTATTTGCTCTCCCTAGAAATTATTAGAGGCCAAATTTGCAAAATTATTTTGTGAATTATGAACACTCAAACTGGATTCAGCCCTTCATGAACAATTCACCTTTAATTACAGCAGAGCCTATGCTCCACTCTAATAGAGGCCAGTATTGGATCTGAACTTAGATTATGATGGTCATTATTTTCACTGACATATTGGGGAGTTTGGATCTGAGAATTTGTATCAGATCTGTTTTTGTTAGGAAGTAAAATGGGTTTTTTTGCAAGGTTTTTTGTGCAAAGTATGCAAATTTTAGGTATTTCAAATGTGAAGCAAAAATATCAGTATAGTTTGAATCTTTTCTTGCAGGAGTTGCACTTGATCATTATGCCCAGGAAGAGGTTTTTGAATGAGGTTTTCAGTATTTACATTGTATGTGTACCTGTTTGATACATATCCTATCTAGAAGGTGATAATTGTCCTTACATCCCACAGGAGGATTACTTTCAGAATGTATGTTTTGGTGCAATTGCAAGGGATTCATTACATTCATCTCATCCAATCTCCAACCCAGCAGAAACGCCTATTCAAATAAAGGAAATGTTTGATACTGTATCCTATGACAAGGTACTGTATATCAGTTCATGAATGCAAAAAGATTTTTTGCAGCCATGACACTTAAAAGTCTAAGCAACCTGAAAGTGAGGAATTTGGAGGGAAAACTGTGAATTTTGAAGTATGATGACCAATTTCACACTGGCTCTCTACATTTTTTCTAACCTCCCATGAATGGATTTATTATGGTTCCATTTTGCTAACCCCTTGGCTCTGGTCACACAAGGTTACCCACTAATAATAACTAAGGTGAAATCCTGGCCCATGTTTGGTCTGAATACATGGGCGGTGTACAGGAGAGTTCAATAAGAATTGCATATGTGTTAAGACATTACAGGCAGTCCCCGAGTTACGCGGATCCGACTTATGTCGGATCCGCAGTTACGAACGGGGCAGTTCCTCTCCCTGGTCTCCAGCAGACCAGGGAGAGGAAGCAAAGCGGCGGAACACGTGGGCAGCGGACAGGGCTGTCCGCTGCCCACGCGCTCCGCGGCTTGGCTCTGCTTTGCCGCCCCCCCA